TGGAAGTTGTTAGAGCCCTTTGGAATGGGGAAATAATATTGAAATCTTGGGGTTAATATATGGGATCATATATGTAAATCAATCAGCACGATAGCATTAACTATGCTTTTCATGAGTCTAAAAAACTGAATAAAAATTTACCTTTCATATGCTAAAAATAAGAATTCAGAGATATAGTGATGTTAGTCTTTTATTGTTATTCATTTTTCTAAATAGACATACGATATGCTTTTGAGTATCTGCAATTACGTGCTTTGTTAATCTTTGAATAGAGTGAAAGAATTTGCAGTAAACACTTGACATGGTAACAAGGGAAAGCAATAATCATGTTTATTATCTCAGATATTGAAAAAAATGACACTAAATTACTGAAATGATTCGAATTTGCCTTTAAAGTATGTCTATTTTTTGATGATCTCTTAGTCTCTAACACTTCAAGCATTATTTCAACAAGGTTTCTTGACATTTGAAGTAAAATATTCATACCACATCATAAATCCATGATTTTCCTTGCCTGGCCAGTTTCAATACCCTTTCAATACTCTTTTTTCTCCTTATATTTTTAGTTGATGTGTACACATTTTTGGGATACAGAGCGATATTTCGATAGGTATATACAATGTATAAGGATCAAATCAGGCTAATTAGCACATTTACCATCTTGAACATTTATCATTTCTTTGTGTTGTGAACGTTCAATATCTTCTAGCTTTTTGAAAATGTACACTAAATTACTGTTAACTGTATTCACCCTGCTGTGCTACCTAACGCTAGAAATGATTCCTCCCTTCTAGCTGTAATTTTGTGTCTGTTAACCAACCTCTCCCTGCCCTCTCCCACACACTCTCTAGCTTCTAATAAACCACAGTTCTACTCTCTACTTCCATGAGCTCAATTTTTTTTAGCTCCCACATATGAGTGAGAACATGCAGTATTTATCATCCTGTGTCTGACTTATTTCACTTAACATAATGTCCTCCAGTTCTATCCGTATTGCTGCGAATGGCAGGATTTCATTCTTTTGTATGGCAGAATAGTATTCCATTGTAATATCTATTCTATCTATCTATCTGTCTGTTTGTATCTATCTATCTATCACATTTGCTTTATCCATTCATCCATTACGTGGACGTTTAGGTTGATTCCACATCTTGGCTATTGTGAACAGAACTGCAATAAACATGGAGGTGCAGGTGATATACTGATTTCCTTTCCTTTCTTCTAGTACTCTTTAAAGACTCAGGGTGTGTAAACTAATTATGATCTTTGTTAGTGATCTAAAATCTTTCTTTTCTAGTGGTGAGAAGCTTCCCTCCTCCTGATGTATTTGTTGTTATAGTTACGCTTGGCCATGAACCAGGACCCTGATAGATCACGTATAATGTTAGAAAAAAGAAACAGAGCTTGACCCTCTAGAACCAATGTAGTAGCACTCTCCTGCTTCCCCGTGAGGCCCCAGTGGAGATCTGTGGGTGTGTGGATTGTGACCACACACATGGCAAAGTGTCCATGTGTGGTCCGGAAGCTGCTTCCACTTCTGTAGATCCTAAGGGTTGAGGATAGGAGAATCCGTCTCTCCTCCTGTTACTAGGTCCACGATGCCATGAGGATTTCCCTACCTTTCTGTCAAGTGGAGGTGCCCCGAAATTGCTTCCACGTTTCTCCTTCCCTTACAGGGCTCGCATGACAATAATTTGCTCTGTGTCTGGGAAACTGTGTTGTGTTGAAAATGACAATTAGTTATTTCCCACAGAGAGCTTAAGTTCTGATTTGGTTTGATGAATGTTATCTTCCATGATGTTAAACCCCGACTTATTTGTTATTTGCCTGATAGAAAGTGTTCAAAAGAAAATGAGGAGAATAAGAAACAAATCTCAAAGAATTGCAGGAAACATGAGGAATTTCTAACTCAACTTCATGACTGCTTGGATCCAGAAAAGAAGAATGAAAAGGCGTCAGAGGAAGATTTAATTTTCAAGGTGTTTGTATACAGATTAAAAAGACTATAACTATAGTGCTTATTCTGACAAGTGACATGAAAGGGAGTGCTGTGGTTGGGCATGGGGGTGGCAGGAGAATAGGACGGTGGCCCAAGGGCAGCATTAATTCACTGTGTGACTTGGGACAAACTGTATCACCTCTCTGAGCCTCGATTCCAAGATTCTTTGTAGCATAATTTGGAATAATTATTCTCCAAAAGGGATTAACTGTTTTGTTTAAAATATTAATATATTTAGGTTTTCACATACAGTTAATTATTCATTTTAGCAATTTGTTTTAGAGAGTTGTTTTTCCTTTTAGTTACAGACAGCAACACACACACACACACACACACACAACAGCTGTGTGTCATTTTTGGGATACTTACTGAGGGTAGAGTTAAGATTAGGTCTACAGTACTTTTTAAATTTTACATTAAAACCAAATAGAAAAAATCCTACTTTAATGGTATATTACCATTAGGATGGAAATTAATGATATTAACTGAATAATTCACTTGCCCCATAGTGCTTCATAGAGTACTTGAAAGCATTTGAGTGCTCATGGCATCTTTGCTTATTTACAAATCTTTCAAATCCTTGCTCCCTGACAGATTTCCATGCAGCCATTCCTAAAAGCCACATCTCCGGTGTCTGCTAGTATCTTCCCAAGCGTCCTCTCTGAAAGCTGCAAGATGATTTCATTTCACTTTGAGAAGCATTCCACTTTACTGTTGGGTTAGCTCAGGCCCAGGGTCCATCTGATACCCTCATGGGTGCTGGATGCTCCTCATCCTCCTCCCTGTGGCTAACATGTGACCAGGAACTCAGCTGTAAAAGTCCACTTTGCAGTGTAGTTTGGGGATTATCTTTTAAGCCAAGTGGTGGGGAAAGAAAAGGAAACTCATATACTCCTTCTTTTGGACACCCTTTCCTCCATCAAAGACAATCTCTGTGTGCTAGTCTGGGGTTCCCACTATGTTTCCCAGGCTGGTCTTGAACTCCTGACCTCAAGCGATCCTCCTGTGTCAGCCTCCCAAAGTGCTGGGATGGCAGGCGTGAGCCACTGCGCCAGCCTATTGTTGGTGTTTCTGATGCTTTGGCATCCAGGGCCTTGCTGACCCAGGAGAGAGTGGCCCTCACTGCAGGCCTTTCAGATGCAAACTGACCAATTCAGAGCCCACTCCCCAACCACCTCCTATAACTGGCTTTTACACCTGGGGCCACTATCCTTTTGCCCCTAATCATCTTAGAGCCAGATACCAGACAGTTCAGGGACAGCCCCTACACCTCAGAGCCACTGAAATCATTCAAACTACCAAACCTAAGCCTGCTTACTCTGCCTTGGCCGTTCCTTCCTGCAGAAGAGACTGTAAAGCCTCTTGCCCACATTTCTCCCCACCCCTTCTGTCTCCTGACTGGCCCTGATGCTTCCCCATGTGGCCCTGTGTGGCATGGCATGCTCCTTCCTCTTGGGAACCATGAGTATTTTGATGGCAAGTGTCCCCTGATTTGTTGGCCTCAGCACACCTGAGTAATGATGGAACCTGTGCTTTGGAACAGACGGGAGGACTGTGGAGCGCTGGCTCCCCAACCACCTGAGCTGGTGCCTGTCTTAAAAATAAAAACCCATTGGCCAAGATGGGGAAGTCTGCTGTCTTGATCAAGACTGCAGCCTCACTAGGTGTTCCACCGAGAGCAAGATCGCTCCAATTCCAAAGCCACATGCTCTTGTAAACACATGCACACACACTCTCTAGGAGTCATGGTGGAAAAGGAGATATTCCTAATAATTTGTTTGATATTCATTCATCCATTTCGCTAATATTTAGTGAGTGTTTGTTTGCTACATGCTAGACACTGTTCTGGGTGCTGGAGATACAGCAGTGGGAATGAGACAAGACTAAGTCTATGCTCTCCTAGAGATTTCATTACCAAGGGGTAAAGAAAGTGAAGAAATACATAAGTACCCCCTGGTAAAAGGGCAATGAAGAAAAACAAATCAGGGTGCGGGAGTAGAGGGCGAAGCAAGTGACAGGTGTGGGGTGCGGGTTTAGGTAGACTGGCTGAGGAGTGTCCCCGAGTGGGAGACTTTTGAAGGACGTTGAGGAGTGATCATGTGAATGTGAGGAAAAGTGTTCGAGAGAGGGGAACAGCTCTGAGTTGGGAGCAGGGTGCTGAGGCTGAAAGATAGGTCACTTCCACAGACAATCATAACGCCGACATCGGCCCTGTCGTGTGGGGGGTTTTCAAGTCTTCCTACAGGCGTCCTTGTAGCCCTCTGCCTGAGGTCAAGGAGTCTGCCTGCTTCGATTTTCCCCTTGTGAATCTTATAAATACTCTCAGTTAGCAATGCCAATGCACAACACAGAAAGCAAAAAGCCCTGCTAATTCCAGACCTCAATGATAACCACTGTTAGAGCATTTTTTTTTTTTTT